CCTGCTACAAGCACAGAAAGACGTTGAGTCAGTCCAGCCACAGGGCCACGTTCCCCAGCACCACAGAGCCCCATGCAGGGAAATGCCCTAAGCTGCAGCTCTCTGGGCTCTGCCCCACACTGAACAGCGGTTCCAGGTGATGGAGAAACGTCTCCCCGAGGAACAATTGCGTCTGCAGACACAGTGCCGCGGAAGGTGACACTACACACACGTCTGAGCCATTTGCAGGCTGTGCTATAGTCAAAGGCAGGGGTGTGTAGTTCAATGATAACCAAGCAGCTGAACGAGATTATTCAGTGGAAGATGCTCCCATCAGTCAGCTAGGAGAAAATCCATGGAGCTTGTGCTACACGGTCACAGTGTTTTCTACTCATTTGCACCATCCTTGCGACCAACCCTCCCCAACCAGGGAGGCCAATGCCAGCTCCTCTGCTGCTTGCCCCCTTTGGGAGAGCAGAGGGAGGCTTTTCCCTAAGTTGAACCTGTGGATTCTGTGCTCTTGTTCTGCTCCAGGTGAAATATCCGGAGATCCTCATGATGCATGTTCCCCTTCCCCCCCAACTACTAACAAAGCCAGGAGGAGTTAAATTGTTCCTGCCTTCAAAGTCAACTCCTCAGAGAAAAAAAAGATTCAAACTGTGGCAGTCTCAGAAATGCTAGAAAACTAAGATACAAACTTTGCAGCAGATATTTGAACTGACCCCTGTAGAAAGGGATCTCCACAACCCATTAACGCACGAGACAGACCATGTGTATGCACTTTAATAAGGCTTCCACAGCTCAAGTGACAATGTTAGTCCAGTAGGTTTGCAAATACAGACAAACCGGTGAATGCGCGTTTGATCCCATCTTGTCCTTGTTCCCCTGCACAGCTGGAAGAATAGCAACACCGAGGTCCTTGGGTACATCGGGACATCCCTCCTACAGTCGTGCCTCCCTACACAGCCTGGGTTACAAGCCTCTCCTGGGCCGTTTGAGACACTCCGGTTTGGAACATTGTAATCTCAAGGAACAGACTCTAGTAACAAAAAAAATAAAATAAAAACACCCCCTCCCCGAAAACCCCCTCAGCAAATTGAAAAAAATATCCAATTCCCAGGGGCTATGTACATGAGTGAATGCTGCACATCTAAACGAAGAATAAAATCCTTCAGGCAAACAAGCCTGTTAGGGAAGGAGAGTTGCTTACTCAAGCACTAACAGTAGCATTTTGAACTTTAACTGAAGTCTTTACCTTGGGAAAGAATAAACTGCTCAGCCACACTGGTTTACCTCCAAGATCCAGCCCTTTTATTGGATCTAAGCCCCGAATCTTGAAGTACAAAATCATCTCAATATAAGTCCCCTTTTCTGAATGCTTTCCGAGCCTATTTGTGGTTTTACAATTGCTCCAAATGGGCACCTGGTATCAATTGTTTTGCCCCTCACTGGTCCAGACCTGTTGCTGCAATGCCCTACGACCGTCCCTAAAAGATTTGGGGGGAGAGGAGAGAACGAGTATGGCAAAAAACCATTCGTCATTGAATGAAGGGGAGCTGTAACTTTTCTGAGAAAAGGTAAAATTTAAGACCTCCACTATCAAGGTTACCAAGCCCAGGTTTTTATACCCCCCCCCCAACTCCTTAAATCTGCCTGGAAAGCTCACGGGATCGGTCAATACAGGAGTTCTGCTCCTAACAGTCCGAGAAAACCAATAAACCCTAGTGAAGTCCAACCCTCAGCACCCTGTCTGGAGCTGGAGCACAAAGTCAGCAAGAGGCTAATTTGCTAAGGGAGCATGAAGCTACCAGGCAGTAGCTAACTTTATTATAAAAGATACCTTGACAATGTCCTTTTCCATATTGAGCAGTAAAGCTATTTCCAGCTAGTATTTAATAGGGCCAGGAAGAGATCCTTTCCGGAAATTACCGAAGATGTAAAGAAAAAAGGTAAGTCCACTCCCACAAAGTAGGACACCCCACCCCCTTCAGCATCTGATTCCAATTTTCTAATGAAGATCAATTCAAGGTTTCCCAATTGATCAGTGGAGTGGAAATGGAGCTGGCTCTTGGAAGTAGCATACTGGAGAAAGAGGGTATCAAAAGTTGTTAAAATAGCCAACATTTCTAAAAACACATTTCACAGAGAAAGACCATGTGATTATTCAAATTAGGGTCATCTTCATGTTTGAAATGAAACTGCAAAAGGATGGGTGAGAGACGGCAGAGACGAGGCAGAGACGGCAGGTCCTTGTCCCCTTATCTCTCTGTTTAAGAGCCACTGATGGAAGGGCTTTTGCAGGCAGGCCACAGTTTACATTTTGGGATGCATGGATGAGTCTGAAAAGGCTAGACGTTCCTCACAATTAACATTCTTCCATGTCGTACTGAAAGAACAGTGGCTCAAAGAATGCAAGCAGATTTATGTCTAAGGAGTTACTATAGGACAGATCAAGACGTTTTGATCTACTGTCACCCTATTTTTTATGGGCAGATGACTGTGGTATGAAATCAGAGCAAGGAAACAATAGAATGCCTCTCCTTTCCTCAGCTAGAAGTTTGTCCGTAGACATGATATATTGTTACTGCTACTATACTTGTACTTTTGTTTTATTAAATATAAAATTCGAAATTCTCTCTTGAAATCAGGATGTCCCTTCAGTGCAATCCGCTTTGATGTAAGGCATTTGGGGCAGTCCTTTCAGAATGGGTTCCTGCCTTCTGGAAGAGTCAAGCAACTGTTTAGTCCTATAGCCACCTTTGCTTTAATGCCCTACCATGTCAAAATCCTCTTCCTTTCTGGTCATTTCTCTGCTCCAGCGGTTATAAAAACGTTAGTGTCCAAGTAGACCAGTCCCTGTGAGTGAGAAAGCAATGAAGGAGATTTACACATTTTTAAGATAAAAAAGGTAAGTTTCAAAGACATGAAGAAATAAGTATCTTACCTTTAAATCCTTCTTCAGGCATACAAACTGAAAAGGAAAGACACCATATTAGAAAGCTTCTAATGACAACATGTCTCCTACGAGAAGAAGCAAAGGCCTGAATTATAGCATCCTGCAAGCTTCAACAACCGTTTGGTGCCAGCTACAGGGAAATCTGGAGTTCTTCTGGCTTTTGCTCATTTCTCCTACCTTTCTACTCCTGTGACTGCAGCTCCACAAACCTTTTCTGTTCCACATGCAGCAGGTATCATTCAGCATTTTTGCCACTGCACCCAACAGAAAGGAGTACAGTCTAATAACTGCGCTCTTCCAAAGAAGAATGTTTAGAGCAGTGTTTCTCACATGGTGTTCCGCAGAACTCTGGGGTGCCGCGAAGTGAAAATAAGGGTTCTGCGAGAAAATTCCATTGCAATAACCAGGGCTTGACAAACCACGGCGAAATCTACTCGCCAGCCCTGCACTGCCGCATTGCGCATGCGCGCGCTGCTGGTAAATGGGGCGACCAGCTGAAATCTACTCGCCACGGGTGAGTAGATTCACTGATTTGTTGAGCCCTGGCAATAACATTTTATGATTAAAAACGTTAATATTTAAGCATTTATGAATTTTATTGAAAACAATTTTCATTTGTGTTTGCCACAATGAGTGTCCCTGTGTAATGCCAACTTAGCCAGAGAGTGGGGACGATGATGTCACTACTCAGCGCTGCACGCGCTCAGTGGTGCAATAGCCAGTTCTATACTACCGCAAATCCCCGTCCTCACTCTCAGGCAGCGTGGCTCACGTGGGTGTCTGAATTCAAACACGCTAGCGCCGCGTCGGACAAAGTCGAAGCTTCAGCTGTCAAACCAGTTGCTTATATGGGAGTGCGCAGGCGGTGTTCTTGCGACTACTTTACTCCAGTGTAGGCGCCTGATTTCTTCTATTTAAAAATTTAACTGTGACAAATTATAGATTGACTATGATCGATTAATCTACATCTCATGACTTTGTTTAGCATTTGTTTATTATTATCCTTGTTTATTTGTGGTCTACTTTTCAGCTCCATATATGACTATTTGGTGTTCCACAAAATTCTTTCAAGTTTAAAAGGGTTCCGTGGCCAAATAAAATTGGGACACACTGGTTTAGAGTATAATTACGAAGTCCTCTTTACCTTGCATAACATCATCCATGGCTGCATAATCTGCAATTGGTTCATCAGCCTATAAAAGAAGCCAAATAGAACTGAAGTAACAGCATGAACACTGGCAATTTACCTGCCCTGTTAGCCAAGTAAGAGACTCTAGCAGATGTGCATTTAAACCAACAGAAGAACAAGAATTCCTTAGAGTATAATTACGAAGTCCTCTTTACCTTGCATAACATCATCCATGGCTGCATAATCTGCAATTGGTTCATCAGCCTATAAAAGAAGCCAAATAGAACTGAAGTAACAGCATGAACACTGGCAATTTACCTGCCCTGTTAGCCAAGTAAGAGACTCTAGCAGATGTGCATTTAAACCAACAGAAGAACAAGAATTCC